CTGTGTAGTCACCGTTCTCCGTTGCCTTAGTAACAGGATACCTTTCTGAGGATGAGGAAACTGATGAACGCAGCGAATTAAACACTGGTGGGCTAGCCAGGCGAGGTAGTTGACACCATTAATCCCAACAGTCTCTGTGAATTTGAGGTCAGCCTGGTACACAGCAAGTTCTAGGCCAGCAGGGTTACATAGCCAGACCCTGCCTGTCCACCCCCCCCCCAAAAAAAATCAGCCAGAGATGGTAACACACGCCTTTAATCCCAGCAATTGTGAGGCAGAGGCAGGCAGAACTCTGTGACTTCGAGGCTAGCCTGGTCTACAGAGTGAGTTCCAGAACATCCAGGGCTCTTTTACACAGAGAAATTCTGTCTCAAAAAACCAAATAAAATAAAATGAATTAAAAAAAAATTACACTTTCCAGTTTGAAAGAAAGAAAAAGGAAAAAAGGAGGAGATTCACAGAACAGTAAGTTGTTTTAAATCATCAAATAAGTTTGGTGTTTAAAAATACAAAAGGGGCCGGAGGGATGACTTAAGTCAGTTAAGAGCACTGGCTGGATTCCTGGTACCCTCACAGTGCCTCACAATTGTAACTCTAGTTCCAGGGGACCTGACGCCCTCTTCTGGCCTTTACCGGCATTGTATTAATGTGGTACACATACATTTTACATGCAGGCAAAACGCTGGTACACATAATAAGTACAGTTTTGTTTTTTGTTTTGTTTTTTTTTTTTTTTTTCGAGACAGGGTTTCTCTGTGTAGCTTTGGAGCCTGTACTGGACCTAGCTCTGTAGACCAGGCTGGCCTCGAACTCACAGAGATCTGCCTGCTTCTGCCTCCCCGGTGCTGCTGGGATTAAAGCATTCATCTTCTTTTTAATCAAAATTATTTTCTTTGGAGAAGAAATGGCCCCCACTCACGTCTATGTACACATACATCTCTGAATGACTTTTTTTTTTTTCTTTTAATTTCACAGTGACTTGACTGACACATAGCTACAGCGGTGTGCCCTCCAGTGGATGGAGTGACTGGAGTAGTTAGGGTTGTGCCACTTCAGTGATTGGTAAAACTGAACTTCCTGCCACCAGAAGCTACAAAATGATCCCTGACAGAAACCTCATGCAGTTGTTCCAGAGAAATAGAAAATGTGGGTGACACTGAGGATTTGTTTGGACTGAGGAAGATTCTAGAACAGCACTGCCTGTTAATGTACACATCACCCACGTAATTGCAATTTAGTAGGCGTATTAAAATAAAAGGCCGAAGTTATTAAGTTTAGCTTTATGGATTCGTTTTTATTATTTGTGTTTGTGTGATTGCCTCACTTGCACAGATGCCCGCAGAGGCCAGAACAAGGCGTTGGAACTGGAGTTACAGGCAGTTTGCGAGTTCCCTCATAAGAATTCCTAGCCTCTGGAAGAGCAGTATGTACTCATAACACTGAACGTTCTCGCCAGTCCCTCATTTCTTTTTTCTTTTGCAAAACCAGGGATTGAATTAGGGCTTCACATATTGTAGGCAGGGGCTCTGCCATTGACCTCCACCCCAGCCCTCACTGGGGGATTCTAGGCAGGCGCTCTACCACTGAGCCATGCGCTCTACCACTGAGCCACACCCGCAGCCCCTCACTGGGGCCCGGGTGGCTAGGTACTTTCCAAATAAACTGCAGTCCCTAAAACTATTATCTCAAGAGACTGCTTTTGGGGGGAAAGTCAAGCAAAACTGCCACTCTCCTGTAGATTTTGTATATATTGGTTTTTATCATTTGATTCCATGCAACTCTAGGTAGGGTGAGAGACTAGCGGCGTGTGGTGTGGACCAGTTACTCAGCATACAGGAAGCCCAGGGCTCCAGGTCTCTCTGGCACTACATAAATCTGATACTGTAGCAGCCTTCTGTAACTCCAGGTGGAGGCCATCCTCCACTACATTGGGATTTTGAGACTGAAAGCACAGATTAGAGAATATAAATTACTTCCTTCCGAAGACAACCTCTCTGTCTTCGTTGAAGATTTTCAGTAGGTTTCAAACTCAACCACTGAGGTGTGGCTGTAGGCAAATGGTAGCGTGCTTGTCTAGCATGCACTAAGTATGAGTTCGAGTTTGATTCTCAGAGCTGCAAAGCAAACACACACGCATGCTTGCATGTACACGCACACACGCACGTACACACACACAGAGCCCCCCCCCCCCCCCCCCAGGGATCTGGAGACATGGCTTAATAGGTTAGGAGCCCTCAAGCTCAAGCTGGGGGAGTGGTGCTAAATTCCAGTTCCCATATGGAGTCTCTCACAACTGTAACTCCAGTACTATGAGAGTCGACGATGTCTTCTTATCTCGTTTGGTACTAGGCATGCACGTGGTGCATAGAGATAGGTGCACACAAAATACTAAGACATATTATAAAAAAAAAAACAATAATATGTATAAAGCAGAACCCCAAGTCATAAACTAGGGTGAGCGCTAAAGAGGCGCGTGATTAGTACACAGCCACAAGAGGGCGCTAGCTGCACACTGAGAATCTTAAGACAAACCTTAACCCAGTCTCCAGGCGGGATTCCTAAACTTCCCAGGCTGAAATCAGAGCTGTGGTGCAGGCAGGCGCTTTGAGTTCTTGCCTTCCCACTCTTTCTTCTTACTGTCTTTGAGACGGGGTATCGCGTGGCCCCGGGTGGCCTTGGACTTAATGTGTACGGAGGACGGTCCTGAGTTCCTGATAGCACTTCTCTAGGGCTGGGATTACAGGCACGTGTCACTCGCCTGGCTTTCTGTGGTGCTGTGGCATCGAACCCAGGACTTCTTGCATCCTAAGCAAGCACTACACCAGCGGAACCACATCACCAGGTCTCTCTTTCCCCCTCAGGAGACGCCAGTGCAGAGGCTGCGGGGATAGCGAGCAAGAACTAGACGACCTAAGTTGACCCAGGATTCATTTACCCTGCTCACGTTAGGCACTTCAGAGTCCAAGATCTTTTGGTGACAATAACAAGGACATGCCTTAAAATGGCCCCTCCACTTTGGGGAACAGTTTGGCCCATGGAGTTGCTTGAGTGGTACCCCCCCCCAAAAAAAAAACCAAAACCAGCCCACGCCCGCCTAAGGCGTGGATGTATTAGGCGTGGATGTAACGTTATTTGGAAAAGGGGGCTTTTTTAATTTAAAGATTTATTTATTATGTACACAGTGTTCTGTTCACATGTATGATGCTGGCCAGAGGAGGGCATCAAATCTCGATACAGATGGTTGTGAGCCACCATGTGGTTGCCGGGAATTGAACTCAGGACCTCTGGAGGAGCAGCTGGTGCTCTTAACCCCTGAGCCATCTCTGCAGCCCTGGAAAAGGAGGCTTTGTGAATAAAAGGTCAAGTGTCCACAGAAGAGAGAGCTGTGTGAGATTAAAGGCAGAAGTTGGAGTTATATCGCCAGTGGTCATCAGAAACTGGAAGAGGTCTAAAAGACCCTTCTAGAACATTCTGCAAATCTGTCCTGGTTCAGACATGGATTCTGGAAGAGTGAGATTGTAACTTTTCAGTCTCATAAGCCACAAGCCACTGATTGGTGGTTATGGCCAACACAGAAAACTAACACAGTCTACTTTTATTCAATTAGTTAATTTTCCCCCCCACGGTTTCTCTGTGGCTTTGGAGCCTGTCCTGGAACTTGCTCTGTAGAGCAGGCTGGCCTGGAACTCACAGAGATCCTCCTGCCTCCATTAAAGATTTATTTATCACACATATAGTGTTCTGCATACAGGTATGCCTGTAGATCAGAAGAGGGCACCAGATCTCATTGAGAGCGTTCTTAACTGCTGCATTGGGTTTGATTGTTTTGAGATGGTGTTGTCTCATGTTGTTCCCGATTGCCTCAAACTGTCTGTATAGCAAAGGATGAACTTGAGCTATGGAACTTGCTTCTGCCCCCCACAAGCTGAGAATATGGACATGCCTGGCCACACCTAGAACCCCTTCCCCCAATGTGTTGCCTTTGAAATGCAGGGAGCATGTCCCTCCTATAACCCTTCTCCCCGAATGCTCATGTTAGGTTCCAGGGCCCAACAGTCTCAGGTGGCTGCGCCAGGCACACAGGACAGGGTGTGGTAGGAGGGAGGCAGAGATTTCAGATTTCAAACAAATACAGACCAAAACAACACAACACGGGATTAATTGTGCCGTTAGCGCAGTGAGGTGTCTCTTCTCTTTTGCTCCCCCCCCCCCCAGGCTCTCATTAAGTGGCTCTTACTGGCCTGGATCTCAGCTGGAACTCAGTGTTCTGTGTAGCACACATGTGATCTTAGGTTTTTGTTTTTTAAGACTTGGTCCTTGCTATATATAGTCCTGCTGGCCTGGACGTTGGGATGCTCCTGCTTTAGTCTAAGGATCACATGTGTGTGTTACCACACACACACACACCTCCCACGGGAGATAACCTCAAGACCTGGGCTAGCTCTACAACTCTGTGTGTGCTTTAGCTCTAAAGGCCACCTGGTTGGAGGGTTGGAGAGATGGCTTAGAGGTTAAGAGCACTGGCTGCTCTTTTGAGAGGACCAGAGTTCAAGTCCCAGCACCCACATGGTAGCTCACAACCATCTGCAATGAGATCTGAAGTCCTCACCTGGCATAAAGGTGTATATGCAGATAGAGAACTTATACATAAGTAAGTAAATCTTTAAAACAAACCAAAAAACCACAAAAGGCCATCTGGCCATCTGGTTGAGAGACCAGGGCTGTGGTCGTCATCCCTGTTCTGGAAGCCCCAGGAACCCCGAGACTTCCTCCTATTGAAGCAGAGTCCCCTTCAGATGAGGGAACGAAGGCCAGTAAAGTTTGGCAGCTGCATCCACCACAATGGAGAAGAGGCCCTGGAAATCGCCTTTTTCCCTTCCGGGGCCAGAGACTTCCTTATTTTTCCAAGCCTGACTTTTCTCCTCAGCTTGGGTAGCGCTGGGTGGTGCTGAGGATTTTCTGGGTGAGCACCAGTGGAGGGAGCCCCGGCTAGAATGGCCAATGAGCACCTCAGAGGGACAGGACAGTCACTTCCTCTCAGCTGCCTGCATCTCTTCTTTAAAAAGCGAGGCCCAGTCGACAGGAGGGACCGTCTGGCATCTGCCGTTTGTCACCACAGAACCCGGGACGAGCCAGGACATGGTAAGTGGGTTCCGCCCACCCCCACTCTCCCTGTCTGACTCTGTCCCTTTGCTCCTTCAAGCTGTCTTCGCCTGCCCTCTCCCACCTGCACACCGAGCTCGTGCTCTGAGGATGGGATGTGGTCAAAGGCTAGAGGGAGTTTACGGGAACCACAGGGCTGCAGACTCAAGAACGTTCTTCAGGTCAGAAAACCCTGTTGATGGCTCTCCTAAATGAAGAGTTCTGGCAGTTGGGTGTGGCAGCTTACACCTGTAATCAATCTAAGCCCTCAGGAGGCTGGGGCAGGGTGCTGCACGAAGTTCGAGGCTAACCTGGGCTACATAGTGAGTTTCAGGCTAGCCTGAGCTCCTCGGTGAGCTATTGTGTTAAAGAAAACAAATGGGTTGGAGAAACAGCTCAGGTGTGCTTGGCGGGAGCGATGCAAGCCCCGGGTCTAACTACCGGCACCCTGCAAAACGGGGTGGCGGTGCGTGAGGGTGGGAGGTAGGGCGCACAGGAGTTGGGTGTTCAATCTTACGTAGTGATTTTGAGGTTAGCCTGGGCTAAGTGAGAGCCCATCTCAGAAAAGCAACAACAAAAACATAATCTTACAAACAACCCAGTGTGGTGGTGGTACCCCTGCTATTCCCTCTCTCGGGGGGGGGGGGGGCAGGTGGATTTCTGAGATCAAGGTCAGCTTGGTCTACAGAGTGAGTTCTTAGGCAGCCAGTGCTATAGAATGAGACCCTGTCTGGAGGAAAAAAGGAGGAGGAGGAGAAGAAGAAGAAGAAAAGCCAAGTCCTGACAGCAGTTTGGAAGAATGATCAGTACCGGAGAAGCCGGGGTAAACTGCAGCCCAGAGTCCGTGTCCCTCTAAGCAGGTCCCTTTTTAAAAATTTATTTAAGTGTATTTATTTAATTGAGATATACATTTTCCATCCTCCCTTTCCCTCCTCCCCTCCTCCCTGCCCCACATGCTCCCAATTTACTCGGGAGATCTTGTCTTTTCCCTTCCTAGGTGGATCCATGTATGTCTCTCTTAGGGTCTTCTTCGTTACCTACGTTCTCTGGGGTTGTGATCTGTTGGTTGGTCGTTTTTTGCTTTATTTAACTTTTATTTTATGTGCATTGGTGAATTGCCATGGGTGTTTGTTCCCCTGGAACCGGACTTACCAGGTGGGTGCTGGGAATTGAACCCAGGTCCTCTGGAAGAGCAACCAGTGCTCTTAACCATCTCTGCAGCCTCGGAGGGTCCCTTTTTTATGCCTGGGCCCTGAGGTTGGGACATGGTGCTAGGAAGAGTTGCGATTTGGCACCTCTGTAACAGAGGATATGACCTTGCTTCATCCACACAAAAGAGGAAATGGAAAACTTGATAATCAGGGAAGCTTTCTTCATCCCTGGGTCCCATGTCATCCTCTGGCCCTGCCCTGACCAATTGACGTTTCCAGAACAGGGAGGGCTACGATCGACTGTTCTTTTCCTTTCTGGAATACCAAGTCATTCTTTTGAGTCCTGACCTGTAGAGTCCCTGATTTGGGCTGGGGTGTTGCTCTGCATTCTTAGGCCAGAGCTCTATGGCTAAGCCACACCCGCAGCCCCTCACTGGGGGATTCTAGGCAGGGGCTCCACCACTGAGCCACACCCGCAGCCCCTCACTGGGGGATTCTAGGCAGGGGCTCCACCACTGAGCCACGCCCCCAGCCCCTCACTGGGGGATTCTAGGCAGGGGCTCCACCACTGAGCCACGCCCCCAGCCCCTCACTGGGGGATTCTAGGCAGGAGCTCTACCACTGAGCCACGCCCCCAGCCCCTCACTGGGGGATTCTAGGCAGGGGCTCTACCACTGAGCCACACCCCAGCCCCTCACTGGGGGATTCTAGGCAGGAGCTCTACCACTGACTTACATTTCAGTCCTTGATCTTTTAAGACAGGATGTCACTATCCCAAGATGATCTTTCCTCAGCCTCCTCATTGCTGGGATCACAGGCATGTGCCGCCATGCCTAGTTCCTATACATACTTTTTCTTACTTTTTTTTTTTTTTTTTTTTTTGCTTTTTCCAGACAGGGTTTGTCTGTGTAGGTTTGGAGCCTGTCCTAAGTCTCAAGGGAGACTTAGGTTCTTCTCTTTATCTCCTCTCTCTCTCTCTCTCTCTGAGTCTCACTGCATAGCCCTGGCTGTCCTCTGTACTCTCTATGTAGATGAGGCTGGACTCAAACTTCCAGATGCTCGGGTGTGCAGCCGTCCCAACCCGCAGGGTAGACAACGACAAACCAGGAAAACTCCTACGAGGGAAGGGAGGACAAAGGATAGAAAGAAGGACAGCAAGACAGGATTCTGATCAAGCTGACAAATTTTATTTTCTCAGGGGAGGCTTATATAGGACTGTAAGCAGGGTGTGAGCAGGGTTTGCCCGTAGGCAGGATGAAAGGGTCAGTAGAAGAAAAGCCTTGAACTAATCTTTAACTGGCTGTAAAACTGCAGCAGGAGGAATATCCTGAGCTTATTCTTTAACTGTCTGTAAAGCTACAACAGGAAGACTATCCTGAACTTATTCTTTAACTGGCTGTAAAACCACAAGCCTGTATCTAGGCATGCTCTGCTGAACATTATGCTTACTTCTTAAGAGGCAGTGATTTTTATCTCAGAGGCCTGAGGTTGAGAGGATGGTGATGGTCCCCAACATGCAGCCCCACACCTGGCATTCCATTTTTTGGGTAGTGCAGGCCTTTTAGAGAGAAGGCTCTTGGGGTTTCTTTCTATCTCTGCTCTTGCTAATAGAGAAGATTTGGGAAGCTTCCTAGCTTATCTAGAGTCTCAGTTTTTTCTTCTGTTGGATGGCCACAGTGGCAGCTCTATGGAGGTTGTCCTCTGTGTTAAATGAGCCAATACTCAGGGCATTAGTGGTGCACGCCTTTAGTCCCAGCACTCAGGAGGCAGAGGCAGGTGGATCTCTATGAGTTCGAGGCCAGCCTGGCCTACAGAGCTAGTTCCAGGACAGACTCCAAAGCTACACAGAGAAACCCTGCCTTAAAAAAAAAAAAAAGCAAAACAAAGAGAGGAGGAGAGAGGAGGAGAGAGGGGGAGGGGAAGAAAGGAAGGGGAGGAAGAGAAGTAAAAGCTGGCCACAACAGTGACATACATTTGTAATCCTAGCACTTGGGAGATAGAGGCAGGAAGATCAGGAGTTCAAGGCCAGCCTGGGCTACATGAGATCTTATCTCAAAAAAGAAAACAAAAAGGCAGGCAAACTTAGGATAATACTATGTCCCCACGTTGCTGAGTGACATAGTACTTTCAGTAACTAAGCTCATACACCCAAACAGCTTCTGGTGATGACATTCAGGCTCCCTAGATATCCAGCACCGGCCCACGCAGCAGCCATCAGCCACACACTTTCTCTCTCTAGCCAATTAAAACAACATTTAAGAGATCATTTCCTTGGATATTCCAACTCCATCTCAAGCTCAGTGCCCACAAGTAGCTGGCAGCTGCCATCTTGGATATCACAGACTAGAGCATCTCCATTTCCATAGAAACACCTATCAGAGAGGGAGCCCATTTTCTTTCTCCTGGACATTTTCCTGGACCACTCCTGGGTCCTTTTAAATGACCCCTTCCCGCCCCGCCCCCACTTCACATCCCAGTTACCTTCTCTCCCCTTGGAGAAGGGTGTTTTCTGAGGCAAGAGCCAGGCATAACTGGCTGGTTAGTATCTGCTTGAAAAAGAAGTAGCCTTGTTACCTTCCCAAGAATTGCAGATTGGTTAGCATATATGTCTCTTTGGGTACCTGCAGGGGACTAAACTCCAAGGTACCCCAAATTCAGAGAGGCTTGAGTCCCTTTGCATAGGCCCTACACAATCCTCTGTACCCATTAAAAGTTCTCCAGGACTGGGCAGTGATGGCATAAGCCTTTTATCCCAGCACTCAGGAGGCAGAGGGGGATCTGTGTGAGTTCAAGGCCTGTCTGGTCTACAGAGTGAGTTCCAGGACAGCCAGGGCTGACACACAGAGAAACCAAATCTTCAACCCCCCACAAATAAATACATTTTAATAAAGCTCCTCCAGACCCTTATTAATACCCGTGTGATCTAGATTTGTGGAAATAGCCCCTTAAGGAATAGGACAAGAAACAAGTCTGCACACGTAAATTACACAGTTTCTTTTCCCACAGGATCTCTCTCTCTCTCTCTTTGTGACTTCAGAGATTGAACCTAGGGTCTTGTATATGCTAGACAAGCATACTACCACTAGGCTAGTTTCTCCTGTAGTCCAGGCTGAACCTAGAATTTACTATGTAGCCAAGGATGACTTTGACTTCCTGTTGTCCTCTCTACTATCTTCCAGGAGACTTTTTTTTTTTCTTGTCATATTCCTTAGGCAACTATTTTCATATCATTTATTTATCTGTTTTGATAATATTTTGTGCTCCCAAAGGGCAAAGGATGGTGTTAGATTCCCCCCCGGAGCTGGAGTTACAGGCAGTTGTGAGATTCCCATTGGTGCTGGGAAACAAAATCAAGACCTCTGCAAAAATAGCCAGTGCTCTACATTGCTCACCATCTCTCTATCCCTTCTTTTCCCCCCCAATTATTTTTCTCCTTCTTTTCAAGTATTTTTGATCTTACAATAGTTGCCTCCGCAGACATGTGTATATGGAGAGGCAACGGTATCTTGTATAATACTGTTTCTGGAGGAGGTAGTGTGTTCCATGTCCAAGAAGAGCTACATAAGTCAGCTCTTTTAATCCCTGAGTCCCAATCCCTTCCTCAGAGGCAACCATTACTATAAAGTGTGTGAAGCTGGTCTATGTGTACAGACATGAACACACACACCACACACACACACACACACACACACACACACACACACACGGAGTTCATTCTTCCTTTTATAGGCAATATACTTTGTGCATTGCGCACTCTTATTTCCTATTTTTAAAAGAATTTTTTTTTGCTATGGCAGATCTTTCTGTATCCATCTATTAACATCTTCCTCATTTTTTTTTTTTAAACAGATGCATAGTACTTTGTTGCTTAAATGCCATCACTAACTTGCTCAGTCCCTTCTGTTGACTATTTTGGGTAGTTCCAAACTGCTTCTTGTTTTCTTTCCTTTCTTTGTGTGTGTTTATGTTTTATGTTTTGAGGCTGAATTGGGGTGGCCCAGGTTGACCTCAAACTCAAGATCCTTCTGCCTCAGCTTCTCGGGTGTTAGGATCACAGGTCTGCCCCACACTCAGCTGCCCTCCCACTTTGCGGGGACTCTGTCAAACCCAATGCTCCCTGAGATGTTTGCAACTGGAAGCTCCAGGAAGCAACTGAGCTTAGTTAGATTCAGCATCTTTTGCTCTGAGGTCATGGTGAGATCATGCCAGGAAGGGAGATGGTCAGCCGACAAGTGTCAGAGATGGGGTTTAGAGAGGGCTGCACAGAGGTCTGAGTCATCACAGCAAGGATGGAGAGAGAAGCAGAAAGCAGGAGAAGCATTCAATCCCTGTCTGGGGGACTTGAGAGCACCTGGAGGGGCAGAACGTGGTTGGGCCTAGAATTAACCCTCTAATGACTTGTGTTATGGGACCTTCGGTATCGAGGTCCAGAGTAGCAAGAAGGAAGATATGGAGCTGAGGGCAAGCCAGAATAGAGCTGGGGCCTAGGGTTATTTTTCAGGCTTTTTTTTTTTTTTTTGAATTGTTTTTTTCCTTGAGGGTTTCTATGTGTAGTCCTGGCCCCCCTGTGTTGGAACTCACTCTGTAGACCATGCTGGCCACGAACTCAAAGTTCCACCTACCTCTGTCTCATGAGTGCTGGGATTTAAGGCGTTTGCCACCACTGCTGGGCTAATACAAGAATTTTATACTCACCTTCTTTTCTTGTTGCTATTAGTTATTACTGAGATGGGGTCTAGCTATGTAGCTGTGTAGCTCAAGCTGGCCTTCAACTTAATACATAGCCCAGGCTGGTCTGGAAGGCTTCGTTTTCTTATCTCCAGGACTGGGGTTATACAGGCACATATCATCATACTGGCTCAAAACTCATTCCCGATTTTGTTTTTTGCTTTTCTTCCTTTCTTTTTCTTTTCTTATTATTTTTTCTTTTCTTTTCTTTCTTTCTTTTTTCTTTTTCTTTTTTCTTTTCTTTTCTTTTTTCTTTTCTTTTTTTTTTTTTGAGACAGGGTTTGTCTGTATTGCTTTGGATCCTGTCCTGGAACTCGCTCTGTAGACCAGGCTGGCCTCGAACTCACACAGATCCGCCTGCCTCTGCTTCCCGAGGGCTGGGATTAAAGGCGTGTGCCACCAAATGCCAGGCTTGAGTTGTTTTGCTTGACAAGAGTCATTGTTGTTTTTTGGTTCAGGATGGCCTTGAGCTCATAGAGATCTGCCTGCCTCTGACTCCTGAGTGCTGAGATTAAAGGTGTGCGCCGCCCCGCCGCCGCCGCTGCCGCCACCGCCACCGGGGTTCAATTCTTATTTCTGTTTTTGTAAAAAAGAGTATTTATCAGTTTACGGGTATGTGTGTATGCATGTATACCATGTGGCCGCAGGAGCCTGCAAAGGTCAGATCCCTGTGATGGAGTTGTGCTCAGTTGGGAGCCGTTGCTTCAGAGCAGGGAACTGAACAACTCTGGTCCTTTATAGGAGCAGCCGGTGTCCTTCGCAGCCAAGACGCGTCTCCAGCCCCCTAATTCTTATTTCTTATTCTGCCTTCCTTCCGCTGGCCCCAAACACTGCCCCTGCTTCCAACCCTTGAAATTCCAAAGCGTTAGGGTTTGGGAAATGGGTGGACTGCTGGGCTGCCAGGGAGACAATGAGGGGACAGAGAGACTCAGAGCAGGAGAAATTTGCAGAGGGACACATGTGCTTCATGTAGGGCAGGTGGGCTCCGGACTCCGGTATCCAAAAGTTAGCTCATCCTTTGCCGGTGAAAGCGCTATTGCCTGCTCCCTCCCATACTAACCAAATCATCCGACTTTGTTCTTTTTTTTTTTCTTGTCTGGCTCTGGCCGTACTAGAACTTACTATGTCAAACAGGCTGGCCCAAATTCACAGAGATCCACCTGGCTCTGCCTCCTTGAGTGTTGGGGTTAAAAGCATGTGTCGTGCCAAATAGTGAGGGTACACTCACTCCTTTTAACCCAGCCCTGGGGAGGCAGAGGCAGGTGGATCTCTGTGAGTTTGAGGCCAGCCTGCTCTATAGGGTGAGTTCCAGGGCAGCCGGGGCTGTTATACAGAGGAACCCAGCCTCAAAAAACAAAACAAAAACATGTCACCGTGCCTGGCATCTGCCTGTCCATCATTTTAACCAAAGAGGACATTTAATAAAACTTTTTCTTGAGATAGTCTCATGTAGCCCAGGCTTGCATGGGGCTCACGATGGCATGGGTCTGAGGTGACTTTGAATTTCTGATCCTCTTGCCTCCTTCTCTCAAATTCTGGGGGTGCCAAATTCTGGGGGTATGAGCTACCTCTTGTAGTTTTATATTGTGCTGGAACCCAGGGCTTCATGAGTGCCAGGCAAGCACTATACCCACATTCCCAGACTCACTCCTCTCTGACTCCCCACCCCTTTGAGAATGGGTTTCATGTAATACAGGGCTAGCACTGAAAGCCTCCCCACCCGACGTCCAGCCGCTGAATGCCACGAACCATCCAGCCTGGTTTAAGGAGAGACCTTTTAGAGCACTGGCTCTCAACCTTCCTGATGCTGCAACACTTTAATACAGTTCCTCATGTGGTGGTGACCCCCAACCATAAAATTATTTTCGTTGCTGTAATTTTGCTACTGATACGGATGATAAATGTAAATATCTGTGTCTTCCGGTGGTCTTAGGCAACCTCTGCGAAAGGGTCGTTCGGCCCAGGAAGCTATCTACATGTTGAGAACTGCTGTTTTAAAGGAAAGCCACAAACCCACAAGACATCCACCGCTGTTCTACAAGGCCCACATTGCCCAATATTCTTACACATCATGGCCACACTGTCACTCTGTGTGAGCACTGACACACCCCCGCTGGGCATGCCAACCACAGAATGAAGCTTTGCTTCCAACAATGAGGTGTTTTGAAATAGATGACATCGCCCTATCTCTATTTCAACTTTGGATATTGGTTTCAAATTCAGGGCACACACCTGTAATCTCAGCACAAGGGAGGTGGAGGCAGGAGGATCCATAGTTTAAGGTCTCATCTTCAGCTACATAGGGAATTTTGAGACCAGCCTGGGGTATTATCAGATTCTGTCAAAAGAGTAAACAACTAAGAAACAACAACAACAAAATCATTTGTGTGTGGGGGGGAGGTAGTGTCTGGCCACATGGCTCAAGCTGAGTTGAACGTGTGACACATTCATATACATTTTGATGCTTTAAAATATTTCACTGGAACTCGCTCTGGAGACCAGGCTGGCCTCAAACTCACAGAGATCTGCCTGCCTCTGCCTCCCAAGTGCTGGGACTAAGGGGTGCACCACCAATGCCAGGGCAGGCTTTGTCTTAAAAAAAAAAAATCGCTGGGATCTGGAGAGACAGCTCAACAGTCAAGAGTAGTTGCCAGAGGCCTGGAGTTCACATGCTATGGCATGCATGTGGTTGCATGTCTAGACAATGATAAATTATAAAGCATTCCATCTCCTGGGAGGCAGAGGCAGGCTGATCTCTGCGAGTGTGAGGCCAGCCTGGTCTACAGAGCGTGACCCTGTCTCCCCTCCAGTCTTCTCCCTACCAATGTTGCACGGACGTTCAAGTATGGCTGGGCAGCTGAGATAGGAGGCCTGGCATGGTTTCAGTTAGGCCTAGGCTACAGAATGCATTCAAGACCAGCTCAGGTGAGCTACAGAGTCTCTGCCTCATGATAAACACCCTAAATGGGCTGATTATATAGCCCTTCAGTGTCCCTGTGGTAGAGCTGAGACTCAGAACCGTGGGGCAATGTCTGCCAGCTCACACACTCTCTACCTCTTTGATTCTGCTTAGGACCTCGCGAACAAAAGCGCCGGTGACTACAACTATGATTACCCTGATGGGACCATAAACCCCGACATGCCTGTGGATGGCCCTATCGTCGAGCAGTTTCGTGCCGAGGATATCGTGGCCCTGGTCATCTACTCGGTCGTGTTCCTGGTGGGAGTTCCCGGGAACACCCTGGTGGTGTGGGTGACAGCATTCGAGGCCCGACGTACCATCAACGCCATCTGGTTTCTGAATCTGGCGGTGGCCGATCTCCTCTCCTGCTTGGCACTGCCTGTCCTATTCACGGCCATTATAAAACACGACAACTGGCCCTTCAGCCACCAGACCTGTACGGTCTTGCCCTCGCTCATTCTGCTTAACATGTATGCCAGTATCCTGCTGCTGGCCACCATTAGTGCTGACCGCTTCCTGCTGGTGTTCAAACCCATCTGGTGTCAGAAGGTCCGATGGACCGGCCTGGCGTGGATGGCCTGTGGAGTGGCCTGGGTCTTAGCACTACTCCTCACCATCCCATCCTTCATATTCCGTCAGGTGTACAAAGACCCCTTCTCAAATAAGTTTATATGTGGCATTAACTACGGGAAGGGTGGCATCCACAAGGAGAGGGCTGTGGCCACGATGCGGCTGACCCTGGGCTTTGTATGGCCTCTGCTCACTCTTAGTATTTGCTATACCTTCCTCCTGGTGCTGACCTGGAGTCGGAGGGCCACACGCTCCACCAAGACACTCAAGGTGGTGGTGGCCGTGGTCACCTGTTTCTTTGTCTTCTGGCTGCCCTATCAGGTGACAGGGATGATGATGGCTTGGCTGCATCCGTTCTCGTCCACCTTCGTGAAAGTGCAGAGGCTGAACTCCTTGTGCGTGTCCCTGGCTTACATCAACTGCTGCATCAACCCTGTCATCTATGTGGTGGCTGGCCAGGGCTTCCAAGGGCGGCTTCGCAGGTCTCTCCCCAGCATCATCCGGAACGCCCTCTCAGAGGACTCCATGATCAGGGACAGCAAATCCTTCACTCGCTCCACGGTGGACCACTCGACCCACAGGAGTCAGGCAGTGTAGAGGAGACCCAGGGCTGGTGAGGGTTGCTCTTCCGGCCCTCCTCTCCCTCGCCTCTCCCTCCTTCTCTTCTTCCTCTCTACCCTTGTTTTCCTCTTCCCCCCTTCCCTTTGCATGTTTAATTTTATGAGACTTTTTCTGAATTGCCCTGGCTAGCCTTGAACTCAGGATCCTCCTGGATGCTGGGATTACAGGCATACATTCTTTGGAAGAAAAACATCACATTGGCTTCCATTACTAAGGGAGACCTTTGCTATGCTGTCCACCTGCAGTGGCTGGCCAGATAAATATGTAATAATGATGACTTCCAGGGGCAGGGTAACCAAAAAACAAGAGAATTTCATGTTATTCACTATTGTTATTTGTTTGTATTGTTTTTCTTCCGAGACAGGGTTTCTCTGTGTAACAGTCCTGGCGGTCCTGGAACTCGCTCTGTAGACCAGGCTGGCCTTGAACTCACAGAGACCCGCCTGCCTCTGCCTCCTGAGTACTGGGACTAAAGGCGTGCGCCACCACACACCTTTTTTTTTTTTTTTTTTTGATACAAGGTCTCTAGTAGCCTCATCTGCCTTGTCCTGACCCCTGACCTTCCTGCATCTGCCTCCCTAATGCTGTGATCATATGTTTGTACCACTGTTCCCAACTCATCTTTTATTTCTACAATGTTGCCTTTTTGTGAACGGTATTCAGTGTGATCCCAGCTTTGTAAAAACATCTGTGTGTCGCTCACATAATAAAGATTTAAAAATAAAAAGGTGCAAAAATGTGTTATTTAATTTTTTAGGCATTTATCTATTTACTTTATGGGGTGGTGGTGTTGGGCATGGTTTATGTGTGGAGGTCAGAGGACAACAGCTTCTCTCATTTCAACTGTGAGGGTTCCGGGAATTGAACCCAGGTAGCAAAGCTGGCCAGCAAGCACCTTATGCTGTGAGTTGTATTGTTGGCTGTAAAAGCACTCTTTTGAAATGTGTAATCTTGCCTTACAGAACATGTACACGTGGGTGTATGTGCGGGATAGAAAATGCATACAGACCAACCCCAGACATATGAGGTAATTGAGTGAATGGTTTTGAATTTTCTGGTCAGCACACACACACACACACACACAAAAAAAAAAAAAAAAGGGAAAAAAAGATGACATAAGAGAAACCGTGTGTGTGTGTGTGGGGGGAGTGAGCCTGTACCCCAGCACCTGGGAGCCTCAGAGACCAGAACTGAGCATTACAAGCCAGCCTGGGTTTCCCAGGGAGACTCACACAGTCCAAGCAAACAATAAATAAAGTAAAATACTGGAGTTTGGCTCTGCTAGGCCTTCCCTTCTTCCCGGGGCATATGCCACCATTGGTTTCTGCCCATGTGTAGTGACACTTTCTGTATGGTGCTACAGCCCTCATCAGAGCTTCTTTTCCTTCATGGTTCTTTTGAGACAGGGTTTCTCTGTGTAACAGTCCTGGCTGTCCTGGAACTCGCTCTGTAGACCAGGCTGGCCTTGAACTCACAGAGACCCTCCTGCCTCTGGCTCCCGAGTGCTGCGATTAAAGGTGCGAGCCACACACCCAACATCATCCTAATTTTTGGATGGCGTCTATGGGGTTGAAAATTACTTCCTGAGGCAGGCTCTCATCCAGGCTAGCCTCAGGCTGCATATATAGCTGAGTCTGGTCTTGAACTTCTGATGTCCCTGCCCCCTCACTCATGCCCTAGATGTCCTCCACAGACCTCTTCCTCTCCTTGCTTCTCCATTCCAGGAGAAACCACAGAGGCCACCTGCTCAGCCACGTCGTTTCAGCCCACTCAGTGGATGCCCAACCTCCTTCCTCCTACACACGGGGCTGCTCCAGGCCCTCGTCTTTTCCTCTTGTGCCAATGCCTCACCTCTCCCCTGGCCTCCTGGATGCCCATCCTTGCTTCCGTTCTGGCTTCTTGTCAAGTGTCCCCTTCCTTCAGGAAGTCCCCTGTGGCCACCCCCGCCCGCCCTGCTTCCCACAAGTAGCCCATTCCCAGTCTTTGTCCCTGGCTAACTTTTGAGCTTCCTGGTTCAGAGAGTAGGTAGTAGAGAGTGGATCACCTTCTGCCCAGGTCCATGCAGAAGGAGGTGCTGTTTTAAGAGCGGGGCCTGGGTATGTGTGGGGTGTGGGGCGTGAGGCGTGGTTAAAAAGATAGGTCAATGACTAAGAGTACTTGTTGTTCCTTGACAACCCTCTGACAAAGCCTCTACCTCCAAAAATATTAATTTATTTATTTTTGTTTTATGTGCATTAGTGATTTGCCATGGGTGTTGGGTCCCCTGGAACTGGAATTATAGACAGTTGTGAACTGCCAGGTGGGTGCTGGGGATTGAACTCAGGTCCTCTGGAAGAGCAGCAATGCTCTTAACCACGAGGTATCTCTCCAGCCCCCTCCAAAAATATTTACATCACTGTTATTAACAGTAGCAAAATTACGGTTATGAAGTAGCAAAGCAAATAATTTTATGGCTGGGGGTCACCACCACAAGGGAGTGTATTAAAGGGTCACAGCATTAGGAAGGTTGCAGGCCATCATTTTAGAGGAACTGGTTTAGTTCCCAGAATCACATAGTGTCTCGTAATGGTTTGTAATGCCAATGGTCTGCAATGCCCTCCGTGCACAGCCAGCATATGCATGGTCACAATCGTACCCTCAGGCAAAACACCCAGACATACAAAATAAAAATACACACTTAAAAAGAGAGCTGGGCCCAGGATAGGATGTATTTCACTAGGTAGAGTGTTTGCCTGGCATGCATCAAGTCTGGGGTTCAGTTACTAACAGTGAGTAAAGTCCTGAATGGTGGTTCATGCCTTTCAATTCCAGCACTCCAGACACAGAGGCAGAGGAGGCCAACCTGGTGTACATAGTGAGTTCCAGGTCAACTAAGGATACATAGTAATACATGGTAAGGATACAAAAGAGCAGAACAAACATACACATTCATACTTGTGCACTAGTGCATGTGCACACACACACACACACACACACACACACGCGAGCACATGACAAAAACCCTGCATGATGGCACACAACAATAATCTCACTACTCAGGAGGTGGAGGCTGGAGGCTCAGTTGTTTGAGGCTTTTCTCTGCTACACAGTGAGTTTGTGGCTAGCCTGTGCTACACGACACCCTGTCTGTCTCAAACGAAAATCAAACAGAAAGCCCAGCCAGGCATGGTGATGCACAACTTTAGTCCCAGCACTTGGAAGAGGGTGAGTTTGGGGTACTTAGAGAGACCCTGCTTCAAAAACAAAATTAAAAGAGGGGCTGGAGACATGTGTCAGTGGTTTAAGAGCACTGGCTGCTCTTCCAGGGGACACAAGTTTGTTTCCCAGCACCCACATGATGGCTCACAACTGTCTGTTACTCCAGTTCCAGGGATTTGAGGTCCTTTTCTGGCCTTCACAAGCACGCGTGTGGTGCACAGATATACACACAGACAAAACACTCACGTACCATAGGGTAAAAATACATTAATTAAAAAAAAAAAAACAAAACGAAAATATCTGGACATAGAGCGGCAGGTGATGAGTGTAGAGGACATCCAGGTAGTGACCCCAGCCGCTGGGCTAACCAGCCCTGCCCCAAACAGAAGTTGGCAGAAAGTCCAGAGTATTGCCAAATGTGTGGCCTGTGGAATCTGCTCTGTCAACAGGGCTTGGAAGGGGAAGTGACCAGGAAAGGAAGTGGACTGAGAGCTTGGTGGACTCTAGCGTGTTCTCTCCCCTCCCCCAACCCCAGTCCTCTGCACTCTTCGGTATTGCATACCCATCTGTTCTTCTAAGGCAGGGCTGCAGAGCCTGGGGCCAGAGCCCTCCCTTGTCCTGGCGACCTCTGGGAGCCTCAGACCTCTCACACCCCGGAAGCTGTTTACCCTGTGTGAGAGTCTTCTGGGATGGAATACGAGGGGCTGGGAGACGGCTCAGAGAGCAAAGTGTTCGCCATTCAATCACGAGGCCATGAGTTCCAGCCCCAGAATCTGTGTACAAAGGTAGGCACAGCGCAGCTTGCTCTTGTAACCTCAGCACGGGGAAGGTGGATCTCTAGGGCTGGCGGCTGGGCTAGGCTGCACCCATTTAAAGCCCCTGTCTCAAACACCAAGAATAGGAGGGGCCTGGAAGGATGTTTCAAAGGCGTGTGTGTGCCACCATGCTTGGATCTCTAGGGCTGGCGGCTGGGCTAGGCTGCACCCATTTAAAGCCCCTGTCTCAAACACAAAGAATAGGAGGGGCCTGGAAGGATGTTTCAAAGGCGTGTGTGTGCCACCACGCTTGGGGGTGAGCACTCTTAACAGCTGAGCCCTAGCTCCAGCTTCTGCTCATATATTTTATTAATCTATGTAAGATAGCACTTTGATGTGCGATCCTAATAAAAAATATTCTCTTTTAAAAAAATAATTAATTTGCAGGGTGCTGGTGGCACACGTCTTTAATCCTAGCACTCGGGAGGCAGAGGCAGGCTGATCTCTGTGAGTTCGAGGCCAGTCTGGTCTACAGAGTGAGTTCCAGGACAGGCCCCCAAAGCAGTACAGAGAAACCCTATCTCAAAAAACCAAACAAAAAAAAATTATCTTATGTGCATTAGTGTGTTGCTTGCATTTGTCTGTGTGAGGGTGTCAGATCTGCAACTAGAGTTACAGGCAGTTGTGAGCTGCCATGTGGGTGCCAATAATTGTACCCAGGTTTTCTGGAAGAGTAACCAGTGAATGATCTTAACCACTGAGCCATCTCTCCAGCCCTCAGCATAAAAATATCTTGAGTCTGAGGGTGTGGCTCAGTGGTAGAGCCCTTGCCTAGAATCCCCCAGTGAGGGGCTGGGGGTGTGGCTCATTGCTAGAGCCCCTGCCTAGAATCCCCCAGTGAGGGGCTGGGGGCGTGGCTAAGTGTTAGAGCCCCTGCCTAGAATCCCCCAGTGAGGGGCTGGGGGCCTGGCTGGGGTTCTGGTGGTGGAAATACACATGAAACTACCAAGTGTTTCCAGTTATACCCTTAAAATCCAGGACCTCAACATATTATGGAGGGGATCTACCACTGAGCCATGCCCCCAGCCCCTCACTGGGGGATTCTAGGCAGGGGCTGTACCACTGAGCCACGCCCCCAGCCCCTCACTGGGGGATTCTAGGCAGGGGCTCTACCACTGAGCCACGACCCCAGCCCCTCACTGGGGGATTCCAGGCAAATACCCTAACACTGAGCCACACCCCAGGACTGTTATCATCTTGGCACATTTGTTGACATTAGGTTCCCATGAAACTCTACTTGAGGCACAGAGAACATAGAGGCCTCTCAGGATGAGAGGGGCCTGGATTAGATCACGAAGTCTGCAGGTTCTTGACGCAGAAGCAGTTTCCTCTGACAACATGACTTAACACTCTAAATACCAACAGAAGAATTCATGACTGCATGCCCTCAAGGCCTTAAGCACGGCTCGGAGAGAAAGATGACAAACAAAAACCGCTGAGTGAGGAGATTCCAATGTCAGGGTTGAGGCCAGGTCTTCTCTCTTTTGTTTTTTCAAGACAGGTTTTTTTTTTTTTTGTTTTTTTTTTTCCTCTGTGTAACCCTGTCTGTCCTGGCACTTGTACCGTAGACCAGGCTGTCCTTGAACTCACAGAGGTCTGCCTGCTTCTGCCTCCTGAGTGCTGGGACTAAAGGCTCCTACCACTACCCCCTGGTGCGGCCATGTCTTCTCACTTAGCATCCTAAGCCTGTGCCATGTGTGTGGATGCATGTTTGAAGATGGTGCACTATAGAGCTTCGTGCAGACACCCTTAATCCCAGCACTTGAAAAGCCAAGGCAAGCAAATCGTTGTGAGTCTGAGGTCACCCTGGGCTACACAAGAGCCTGTCGCAAACAGAACAAGACAAACCCAAACCAGTCAACTTTTTTTGTTGTTGTTACTATTTTTTTCTTTTTTATTTTAAGTCTGGGTTATCTTCTTCAGGAACATTTGAGGAATGGAAAGTCTTTTGAGAGCCTGTGGCTAACAGACAGGAGCAGGAGGTCAGGAGGGGGTCAATTGGGAATGTTTACTGCCCTTCAGGCTGACGGTGGGTGGGAGGTGGCTTCAAACATAGCCCTCTAGACCTTGTGTCCACACAGATCTGTCTTCCAGGAAGCTGGTGACGGTGAGGCTAAGGGTGAAGACGTGGGCCAGCTCTCCACACTTTAGGCTTCTCCGACCTTTTCTGTCTGTGGGTTAATTTATGACTCACGGGAGAAAGAAGAGACAAATATTCCCCTGAGGCAGGGAGGAGGCCACGCCCGCTTTTCCTGGTTAAGAAGGTTTCACGGGGACCCTCCGAGAATCCCATGGGATCCAGGGGAACGGTTCAGGTCAGATCGCTGAGACTCGCCAACAACTGTCTCTGTTGGAAAGAGACCCTGAGCCTCCCAGCAGCTGCTGTGGCCTGTCTGCTGTGCTCGTGAGTGGCATTTGGCCAATTTGGGACCAGTTGGAAGAGAAGGTAAGGAGGGAGTTATGAGGGAGGGTGAGAGGAGCTTTATGGCTATGGCTTCCTAGAAGCATTCGCTTTGAAATCTTGGAGTGAGAATTCCAGATGGATATTTTATTTTATTATTTTTTTTTCTGAGGCAAGATCTCATGTTACCCAGGCTGACCTCAGATTCACTCTGTGCGGCAGATTGTCCTGCCTCCCTGCCTCCAGAATGCTGGGGTGGCAGGCATGAGCTGTCATACACAGTTTATGGAGTGCCTGGGACAGAACGCAGGACTTCACGCATGACGAACCGCACTCTACCACACCCTCAGTCCCCCAGATAGACATTATCATCACAGCTTGGGAAAACGTGTCAGAGTCCCCCATACATGGAACTAGCTAGGTCAGCCCAGTAGAGCATGTGCGATAAAGCAGGTAAGTGTTCAGTCACACTCTGTAGTGTAGGACACACTGTCCCTTAGGGATCCCCAGATTGGGGCCAGTCCTCCAAAAGTCAGTGTGTCTGGAGAGCAGCCCTCACATTCCTGCTTCACTGGACAGCGCGGGTCACTTTAGGTCAAAGGTGAACTTACGAACGTGCACAGAGGTGTGTGGGGATCATCACTAGGCAACTCTGGGGTTTCTTGTAAACTGGGCACATTCCACAGGAGCATTACCTGAGTCTATTTCCCAGAATAAGAGCACTGCCAGTCTGATTCTTGTTTCTAACACAGAGGCACTCCCCCACATTTTTTGTATATTTCTCCTTTAAAAGTATTTTATGATCCTCAGATATTTTCTTTATTTTGCTAATAATTTGCGTGTAGATGGGTGGTGGTGCCTCACACTGTGATTCACCCCAGCACTTGAGGGACGGAGGGAGGAGGATCTGTCACCTCGAGGCCAGCCTGGTGTACAGAGTGGGTTCTGCGAAAGCCAGGGCTGCACAGAGAAACCCTGTCTCGGGGGGAAAACGTTTGTGTGCGCCTTTCTTTCTATACTGCATTTGTACAACCTTCACAGAGAAGCCAGAGGACAACTTACAGATCTCAGCTTCCCTTCTGTCACGCATGTGCCGGGAATCGAACTCAGGTCGGCAGGCTTGCGGGACGAGTGTTTTATCCATCACTCTCAGACCCAAAGCAGCAGCTTAGCCTCCTTTAGGTTTTGGTTTCTTAATTTCTTCTTTGACTCACCAAATGCCATATGAACTCCAAGCACTTTTCTAGATGCCAGGAACACATTGGAGGCCATATGGGTGGAGCCCAAGTTCTGGGAAATTGGGGTAATTATAAACCCCAAGTCCAGGATGGTCCGCACAGCCACTTCTGAAATGTAATATGTACACAGTGAACATCAGGTCTCTCTCTTCTTGAGACAGGAACTCCTGTAGCCCAGTTGGCCTCAAACTTGAGTGCTGAGGTCATAGAGATGAGTCACCATGTCCAGTTTATGTGGTACTGACCGGTAAACACTCTTCCAGCTGAGTCTCGTCCTCAGCCCCATTTTCTGGTTTTCAGAGACTAGGTCTCATGGTATAGCCTAAGCTGGCCTGGAACTTGGTATGTAGATCAGATTGACCTCACGCTCATGGCAATCCTCCTGCCTCAGTCTCCTAAATACTGGGGTTTCAGGAATGTATCCCATGCCCAGGTTATCCCATTTTGTTATATTTTTGTATATAAAATATAGCATGTTTCATTATTACATTATATATACATATATATGTACACACACACATATATATACATATTTGCTCAGATCCACCCCCCCCCCCACCGACCTCTCTTTTCTCATCAGCTTGTATATTATTATATTATTTGGGTTTTTTCTTCAAGACAGGGTTTCTCTGTGTAGCCCTGGCTGTCCTGGAACTCGCTCTGTAAACCAGGCTGGCCTCGACCTAACAGAGATCTGCCTGCCTCTGCCTCCAGAGCACTGAGATGAAAGGTGTGAGCCACTATGCCTGGTTTATGATTACAAGTCACAACTTGGGGTTGAGGAGGTTGCTCAGTGGTTAAGAGCTGTACTGTCCTTTCAGAGGACCCGAGTTCCGTTCCTAGTGCCCATCAATCATATCAGGTGACTCTTGGCCACCTGTTACTCCAGCTCTAGGGAATCTGACTCTGTCTCCTGGTTTTCACAGGTAACTGCACACATGTGGCATACACTTAAACAGACACACGCAGGTATTCACGGATAAACATTAAAAACGAGTCATGCACTGTAGACCAAGCTTTTAACCCCAGCACTCAGGAGGCAGAGGTAGGCACATCTCTGTGACTTTGAGGCCAGTGAGTCTATAGTAAACTCCAGGCTAGCCAGTGGTACACAGTAAGGCCCTATCTCAAACAAAACAACAACAACAACAGAACAAAGTAGTAATTTGGGGTCAAGATGACTCAGTAGGTAAATGCACTTGGTGCCAAGCCTGACAACTGGTATTTGACCCTGGGACCCCACTTGGTGCAAGGAGAAATACTGAGTCCCACAAAGCGTCCTCTGACCTCCACTGTGAACCGTACTGGGCAAGCATGCTTGTGCAAGTCTGTTCACACACAAAAGCACACACACACACTCTGTCTCTCACACAACACACTCACACACACACACTTTCTCACACACACTCTCTCACACGCACATACTCTGTCTATCTCTCTCTCACACACACAGAGGCAATACTATTTTATGTATAGTGTATGGAACCAAACAAATATAACTTATTTATTGTAAAAGACGCAGTAGGGAGGCAGAGGCAGGCAGATAGATCTCTGTGTTCCAGGCCAAGCTAGTCTACAGAGCAAGTTCCAGGACAGCCAGGACTACACAGAGAAACCCTGTCTCAAAAACAAAACAAAAACCAAACCAAAATGACGCCAGTGCCACCGAGTACAGCGTCCGTTGTAATCCCGGCTTCAGAGGGTAGATAGGAAGGTCTCTCGTGCCTCGAAGGTCTCTCGTGCCTCCTGGCCTGTCTGTCGATCCAGCTGGCAAACCAGAGGTTCAAAGAGACGCTCTGTCTCAAGAAATTGGAAGGGCTCGGCTCAGTGGTAGAGCACTGAGTTAAGTGGGGATGGGTGAGAGAGAGAGAGAGAGAGAGAGAGCAAGAGAGAAAGAGAGAGAGAGATAAGGCCGGGAATCACCCGTCTCTCTTTTCAGACGAAAATACCACAGGCTGATAGCGTCTGAATACAGAAACTGCCCTGGGTTGCTGTCAGCAATAGCCGTACAGGGTGGGGTCGGAGAAGGGAAGAGAGGCTGTATAGATGCGTGATTGCAGCAGCTAATAACACACACACTCAGGCACACTAATGCTTGCCTCGGACCAGCACTGTGGCAGACATGTTCTCCACAGCAGATCTGTTGAGCACATTGAATATCCTCAGTGCTCTTCAAGGTGGGTTATTTGATTATTCCCTTTTATAGACTGAGGCACAGAGAGGTTAGGCTACTTGCTGCAGGTCACACAGCTGTCGGAGCTTTGAGGGTTTTTTCTTTTGATATGTTTTTCTTTTGCTTTTTTTTTTTTTTTTTTTTTTTTTTGAGACAGGGTCTGATCTTATATCGAAGGTTGGCCTTAAAATCATGGCATTCCTCCTGTCTCTCAGCCTCTGAGTTCTGGGGTGACAAGTGAAGTTCTAAAAACTAGATACAGTTTACTTTTAAGGATGGGAAAATACTGGGAAAAATGACTTGACCTCATAGCTGGCTACCTGGTAGTGCTGGCAGTGTCTCAACTTCCCCTATGTCCTTCCTGTTATGACAGTGTTGACTGAGGCTCTGGGCAGTGCCAGGCAACCCATAATAGTCAGATGAGAGAGAGCGAGAGAGCTGCAGGTTCCAGCCACTCTCGTGGAGGGTTGAGTGTCCCCTCCCACGCAGGGAGTGCCCTCACCAGGACACTCTGTGTCTTCTTTGTGTTTCTTATGCATTAACTCTGAGATCCCACCTAACTGGTGAGGTGGGTCCCAGAGAAAGATGTGGGTGGAACCAGGTAGGACTCCCATGGACTCCAGCCATGCACGCATGTATGCGGGGCACGTACACACATGCAGGAAAAGGACACATATCAAAAAAATAAATCTAAGAAATCCCCAAACAAAGAACATCAACAAAACAGTTTTAAAAACGGGGGGAGGGGGGGTTAGGGTAGGAGCTGGATAGATGGCTCATTTGTGAGCTGCCATAGAGGGGCTGGCCCAGAATCTGGGTCCTCTACAAGAGCAACGGTGCTCTGAATCATGGGGCCATCTCTCCAGCACCCCTCCTCCTTTGGTTCAGTGTCCTGTAGTGTGTGGCCTAGGGTGGCTTTGAACGCCTGATCCTCCTGCCTACACCTCCCAAGAGCTGCAGTTACAAGAAGGCAGGCCTAACCGTGCTCCACCCGAGATAGCATTTTGCTATGAAAACGCTGACTGTCCTAGCCGCCACTATGTAGCCAGCCCAGCTGGCTTGGAATTCACAGCTTACCTTCCTGCCTCGAGTCCCAGGTGCCTAGATTGCAGGTGCATGCCATCTGCCTGGCTTGTTCTCCCATCTCTCTGTAAGCTCAACGACCTTACTATTCTTTGGACACAGCCATCACGGTTTATCTTATTCTACAGCCTCATCATCTCCCTTAATTCTTTCAGTTTCTGCTCAAATGCTACCTTCCCTTTACCATCTGTGTGCAATTCCACCAATAGCCTCCTTCTCTGGGATTGTTTTTTCCCTACAGCATTTTTTTTTTTTGAGGTGGGGGTCTCATGAAGCCTAGACTGGCCTCTAACTATGCAGCCAAGGCTGGCCTTGATGTCTTCCTCTATTATGCTTTGGAAAATTTGGCAAATCTCTAGTTTGTACCTTCCTTCTTGGCTTTCCCCATTGGCGCATCAGCTGCAAGGAAACAGATTTTGGACTGTGCCTCAGTCCTTGGATCGACACCCAGAATAACAACAAAATTGCTGGAGAGCTGGGTGTGGTGGTGCACCCTTGAAATCTAACACTCAGGAAATGGAAACAGACAGGACCAGGACCTCACAGTCATTCTTGGCTACCCAGCGTATGTGAAACTAGCCTGAGCTACATGAAAACTTTCCAAAGGACAGAAAGTACCCAGGAACCATGGGGAATGCAACATTCCTTTATTCCTGGATTCCCAAGGCTAATACTATTGAAACAACTCTTCCGGGTGGGTTTTTTTTTTTTTTTTAATTTTAAGAATTTTTCCTGTATTTACTCACTGAGCCCACAAGCATGCTACCATGCTGTGTTTTTTTTCTCTGCCCGCCCCTTTTGGATTTTTTTCTTTTTTTTCGAGACAGGGTTTCTCTGTGTAATTTTGGAGCCTGTCCTGGAACTCGCTCTGTAGACCAGGCTGGCCTTGAACTCACAGAGATCTGCCTGCCTCTGCCTCCCCAGTGCTGAGATTAAAGGCATGCACTACCACTGCCCGGCCTCTTCTCTTCCTCCTCTTCTTTTTTGACTTTTCATCATGCTTTGTTCTTGCTGAAGTTTTAATTTTTGAAATTCCAAGAACTTGGTGTTGCAACACATTGACATTCAGGATCTATATGTTCTAATCTGCCATGGGGTTCTACAGGTGCACCTTAGCCTCCCAAGATAGGTGTGAGCTAGGATTCTGGTGTCTTAAGGGATTGTTTAGGGCTCCAGCAATCCCATATCCTGATAGGCTGGAGTTCTAAGATTGTGATATCCTAGAATTCCAAGATACAAGGATGGAATGTAGTTCAGTTTTAGAGGCCCTGCCTAGAATCCCCCAGTGAGGGGCTGGGGTGTGGCTCAGTGGTAGAGCCCCTGCCTAGAATCCCCCAGTGAGGGGCTGGTGGCGTGGCTCAGTGGTAGAGCCCTGCCCAGAATCCCCCAGTGAGGGGCTGGGGTGTGGCTCAGTGGTGGAGCCCCTGCCCAGAATCCCCCAGTGAGGGGCTGGGGGCGTGGCTCAGTGGTGGAGCCCCTGCCCAGAATCCCCCAGTGAGGGGCTGGGGCGTGGCTCAGTGGTGGAGCCCCTGCCTAGAATCCCCCAGTGAGGGGCTGGGGTGTGGCTCAGTGGTAGAGCCCCTGCCTAGAATCCCCCAGTGAGGGGCTGGGGCGTGGCTCAGTGGTGGAGCCCCTGCCTAGAATCCCCCAGTGAGTGTTAGGAATAAAGCCTTGGCAGATTCCCAGCATATGAGGGTGACACACACGCCAGACAGACAGAGCTTAGTGAGAAGTTTTATTAGAAAGGGGAGGAGGGGGAAGGAAAGAGAACAGAGGTAAAGAGACACAGAGACAGAGAGAGGACAGAAGGGAAGAGGGAGACAGGACAGAGTTCTGTCTGCCCCAAAGGGACAGCGCAGGAAAGAGAGTGGAAAAGGGAGCGTAAGTGGACAGAGGTCTTTCTTTTAAAGGGGTCCTTTGCACCTGGGCTGACCAGGGCACTGCCTGAGTGCATTCTGCCAGGTGACAGGGGCGGGCCAGCATAATGCCTGAGTCCCTGCATTCAGTGAGGCTCAGTAGTTCGAGGCTCAGTGGGTAGAGCGCCTGCTTGGCACGCATGAGGCCCTGGCTTCAAGCGCAGCACTTTGTGGTGTGTAAAGGGTTAATGTACTAGAATTTCAAGATGTACATGACTCGGCATTTGTGGAATTCAAGTTCTCTTGCTGGAGGCTCAGTTTCCTGTTCTTATATTCTGGGATTCCACATGCTAATGAGATAGTTCTCTCTTTCCGGTTCCTTTTCCTATGATAAAATACTCGGCAGCTGGATGTGGTTGCACACACTTTTTTTTTTTTTTTTAAATCCCAACGTTTGGGAGGCAGAGGCAGGCAGATCTCTGAGTTCGAGGCTAGCCTGGTCTATAGAGTGAGTTCCAGGATAGGTTCCAAAGCTACACAGAGAAACCCTGTCTTGAAAAATAAAACAAAAAAACAAAACAAAAAAAAAAAAAAAAAAAAAAAAAAAAAAAAAAAAAAAAGAAAAGGGAAACATTCATGATGAATGTATGTCATTACCCAGAAACTTTCCCCACTTATTTTTATCTCATTTAAAAATATGCGTTTTTATTTTGGTATGCGTGAGAGTGTGTGTGTGTCAGAGGATAACATTTTGTAGCCGTTTCTCCTCTTTCTCCATATGGGTCTCAGGGATTGAACTCAGGTCATCAGGCTTGGTGGCAAGCACCTCCATTCGCTGAGCCATCTTGCTGGCCCTCTTCCTCCATCTATACATATAGTCCAGGATCCCAGCCAGGTCCTCCCCCCCCCCCCACATCAACGATAAACCCCATCTCCCAGAGGCTTCCAGAATCTGTCAAGTTGCCAGTTGACAATAACCATCCCAGAATGCTGGCACCCTGGAGCGTACCCGTCTCTCTAGTAGGGAGCCACCAGGCCAGCCCTGGTCCAGAGCCGCCTGGGCCAGCCCTGCCCCAGAACAACAAGGCTCTTGAAGTTTTCCCACTGACTTGTCCTCTTGTCTGTCCCTGCAGGTGACTGGGGCCAGGATGATGAATTATACCATCGGCTACGAAGACGATTATGACTATGATTTCGAACTTTACCACGACTTGCCGGATGTCCCCGTAGACTGCCCAGCCGGCAATTGCTTCTCTAGTGACATCTACATCATATTCCTGCTTCTGCTGTATGCAGCCATATTCCTGGTGGGTGTGCCAGGCAACGCCTTGGCGGCTTGGGTGACCTGGAGAGAGTCCCGCCACAGGCTGGGGGCCTCTTGGTTCCTGCACCTGGCCGTAGCTGACTTGCTTTGCTGTGTGTCTTTGCCCTTCCTGGCTGTGCCCATCGCCCAAAAGGGTCACTGGCCATACGGGGCAGCAGGCTGCTGGCTGCTTTCCTCAGTGACCGCTCTGTCTATGTACGCCAGCGTGTTCCTCCTGACTGCTCTCAGCGCTGACCTCTTCCTACTGGCTTTCAGGCCCTCCTGGAAGGCTGCTGATCACCGGGCACTCGGGGTGCGGCTGGCCCAGGTCTCTTCCTGGATGCTGGCCCTGCTGCTGACGGTGCCCTCCGCAGTCTACCGTAAGCTTCGCCGGGAGCACTTTCCCTCACAGCTAGTGTGTGGCACTGACTACGGGGGTTCGGTAGCTGCAGAGGCCACCATCACTGCCGCTCGGTTTCTCTTCGGCTTCCTGGGGCCATTGGTGTTCATGGCCATTTGCCACAGCATCCTCCAACGGCAGTTGACCCGACGTCACTGGCCGCTGGGCACAGCGGTCGTGGTAGGGTTTTTCATCTGCTGGACCCCTTACCACATCCTGAGGGTGATAATTGCAGTGGCTGCGCCGTTCTCCTTACTTCTTGCGCGGGTCTTGTTTGCCGAGCCTCTGATTACAGGCCTGGCCCTTGCTCACAGCGCCCTCAATCCTATAATGTTTTTGTATTTCGGAAGGAAACAGCTCTGTCAGTCACTCCAGGCTGCATATCACTGGGCCCTAAGGGATCCACAGGATGAAGAAACTGTGACGAGCAAGGTATCCACCAGCCATGAGGCGGCATCTGAGGTGGCGGTGTAGCCAAGAGGGATTTGAACTTCCTAGGCCATTTCACAATCTGTGTAGCTTCAGGCATGCCTGGGTCCAGGAGCTCAGTGGCAGCTTTTGTCCTTCATTCAATAAACATTCATCGTGCACTGGCTTTTGCAAAGCCCTGATAGACGGGTGTGGCAGTGGCTAGAACCAATTCCTGCCCCCCAGGAATGAGCACTTTGCTGACGAAGACGGATAGGAAGGACGCGTTGAAGGATTATGGAATACGTCAAGGGGGAGATGTCCCATAGAACCTATAGAGGGCGCTGCTGTACGAACAAGAGGTGTAGGCGCTGGAGCCCCAGCATACCTATAACCCCATATAACCCCAGCACTGAGGGGATAGGTGGTCCCTGGAGGGGGGGTCCTCTGGCCAGCCTGTCTAGCCCAGTCAGCAAGCAACAGTGAGAGGCCCCGTCTCAAAAAATAGAGTGGAGTGGGCACGGGGACGATACCTTTAACTGCAGCATTTGGGAGGCAGAGGCAGGTGGGTCTCTGTGACTTTTAGGCCATCCTGATCTACAGAGCGAGTTCCAGGTGGGGAGAACTAGATGAAGATATCCAACCTTGCCCTTAGGCTTACACACACGCGCACATGCACACACATGCACTCATGCACACACGAGGTCGGTCAGCCTGGATCAGCCAGGCTAGCTAGCATCCTGAGAAAAAGGTAACGGCTGAGCCAAAATCTGAATAACGGAGAGAGGATCCACGCCTAAATCTGACGAACTATTCCAAACAGACAGAGCAAGTGCAAAGGCCTTGCCCCTGTGTGCCTCCTCCAAGAAGCCCTTCCTGACTGGCTTCCTCCCAGGGACAAGATCTCCTCCTTCCTTACAATCTCTTTAACACAAATGCCCAGATAAACTACAAATTCCACAAAGATGAGAGCTGGACTTAATGCGTCTTTAAAATTTTGTATTATGTGTAATTATTGTCTGTGCCAGGAAGGGGAAGGGTTAGTGTGTGTATCTGTGTGTGTGTCACGTTGGTCCCAAGCCTTGAACTCCAGTTGTCAGGCTTGGCTGCAAGAACCTTTACCCGCCTCTCACCAGCCTCTCAGCATTTGCAGCCTTATCTCTTCTCCCATCCCCTGGCTTAGTGTGGGAGTCATTTTCTGTTAGTTTGTTTCTGAGGATCTTAAGCAATTTTATTTAAAAAAAAATAGAGGAATACATTGTATCTTGAGCCGATTCGCACCCTTCCCTGAGGTTTGCAGGATTTCAACACCTGTGGTATACCGTGTCCGCAAATTCTCCTCCACAAATCTGTAGGGTTTGGTTTTGGTCTTGGTTATATTTCTTTATTTGTTTGAGATAGGGTCTCATGAAGCTCAGGCTGGCTTTGAACTTGATATGAAGCTAAGGACGACCTTCAGCATCTCCTGAGTGTTAGGATTATAGCTCTGCATTACCACACCTGATTCAAGTGGTCCTGAGGATCACATGATCATGGCTGCTAGGCAGCCAGGGATTCCAGGCAGATGCCCAGTGCTCAGACATGTTTCCAGCATGCTTCCTTCTCACTGGGGGATTCTAGGCTGATGTCCTTGTACTGAGCACCACCCCCAAACCTCTTTGAACAATGTATACCTTGAACAATGTATACACCTGTCTGAAAAGTTCAGAGAGTTTCTGTTAATTTACTGGGACCAGGTAGCCTTTTCAGAAAGGCCTTTCTCCATTTTTTTTCTTATAAGACATATTTTGAAAGTTTCCATTTAAATTCTTTGGCCTTTAAAAAAAAATGAAGGAGAAATTTCATGACAGCTTCTAAATGTATTTCTGTGCAATTATACATTAAAAAAATCTCTTGATATTAAAGGTATTGGTTGTTGTTTATTGTAAGCCCACTCTTGTCCAGACTGTTATGTAATCACTTCTCCAGACTGAAAGGAGATGTAAATCCTTAAGAGTTGGGGGTAAACAACTCACAAGGCTCAGGATGTTCCTGAGACTGAGCACACACACCGGTCCCTTCTTACCCAAGTGTTCTAGTCTTCTTCTTGCTGCTGTAATAAAACGCTCTGACCAAAAGCAATTTAGAGGGGAAGAGAGTGTGTTTTGATTACACTTTCAGATCATAATCCATTATCAGGAACTGGAATACAGGGATCATGGAGGAAACACTACCTGCTTGCTAGCTCTTTGCTCATGCCCAGATACCTTTCTTATATACCCCAGGACCACCTGCTCAAGAATGGTGCCATATACAGCCGGCTCAGCCCTCTGACATTGACCAAAGCAATCTCGCACAGACATAGACACAGGCCAATTTGAAGGAGGCAATTATTCGATTGAGGTTCCCTCTTTGCAGAGGACTCCATATTGTGTCAAGTTCACAGTAAAACTTAAGTAGGACGCCAGGATTATCGGAGCTGAGGAGAACAGACCTCTCTGAGCTGTGGTGCTGTTTGTGAGCTATGCACAGAGTTCCAAGTGTCTCACCTTCATAAGCTGTAGCCATGCTGGGGCAGGCATTCTTCGATGCAGCTTCCTGAGACAGGGTTTCTCTGTGGCTTTGGAGCCTGTCTTGCAGACCATTCTGGTCTCGAACTCACAGAGAGCTGCCTGCCTCTGCCTCCTGAGTGCCAGGATTAAAGGCGTATACCACCATGGTCTGGCACAATTTCTTTTTATGTGTAGGTGTTAAGTCTTCATGCAAGCATGGGTGTGTATAAAGGAGGGTGGAGGGTTACATTGTGTGTTTTCCTCTATATCATTCTTTACCTTACCAAAAAAAAAAAAAAAGAAAGTCTTGGGTTTGAGGATGTAGCTCAGTGGTTGAGCATTTGCCTAGCAAGCACGAGATCTTGGGTTCAATCCTCAGATCCAGGAAAAAAAAAAAAAGACAAAATAACAAAAGTAACAAAAAAATCTTTAAGAAAATTTTACGTACATCATTGTTCTGCCTACATATATATCTGTGTGAGGTGTGGGATCCCCTGGAACTGGAGTTACAGACAGTTGTGAGCTGCCATGTGGGTGCTGGGAATTGAACCTGGGTCCTCTAGAAGAGCAGCCAGTGCCCTTAATCACTGAGCCATCTCTCCAGCCCTCCTTGGAGATTTTTATATTTATCAGTGTGTGTGTGTGTATGTGTGTGTGTGTGTGTGAGAGAGAGAGAGAGAGAGATAGATAGATAGAGAGAGAGAGATAGAGAGAGAGAGAGAGAGAGAGAGAGAGATGCTCCCCACGCAAAGTAGTGCCTAAAGTGCAGCTTCCAGGAGCTGGTTCTGTTCTTCCATTCTGTGGGTCTCAGGGATTGAATTTAGGTTGTCAGGTTTGGCTGCAATTACTTGATGAGCCATCTTGCCAGCCCTCTGCCTTACTGTTTGACCCTGTCTCTCCATGAACTTGGGACTCAATGATTTCAGTAAGAATGCTTAAGCAGGGGGGATCCTCCTGCCTCTGCCTTCTCAGTGCTGGGATTGATGGTGTGTGAGATGATGCCTGGCTTCTTACATTGGGTCTGGAGACTCATACTGAAGTCATCCTGTTTGTGTGGCAAATATTGTACACACAAAACCATCTTGTGCCCCTATTTGTGTGGTTTTGAAAATCTGTGTTTTCTGAGACAGCGTTGCGCTCTCTCTGTAGCCCAGGCTGGCCTGCAGACTCCCGGAAGGGCTCCTCCTCCAACCTCTCGAGTAAGTACAGGGGTCATATGCTCACACTGTCACATCTGGCTTCCGCCAATTTCTTTACAGAAAAACAGTGATTTCCTTTCCCGTGAATCACATCTCAGTGATTTTCCAAGAACTGCTTGCCATGAAATACTGTTTTCGGTGGGCAGCAGCTTCCTTCTAACTACAGATTTGCATTTGTTTCCTTCATTTTTCTTTTTTTAAAAAATGTAGCTTGCACCGGGCATTGGTGGTGCACGCCTTTGACCCCAGCACTCAGGAGGCAGAGGCAGGTGAATCTCTGTGAGTTCAAGGCCAGCCTGGTCTACAGAGTGAGCTCCACGGTAGCCAGGGTTACACAGAGAAATCCCATCTCAAAGGTATATAAAGTGGGAAAAAAGTAGTTATTTGAAAGACTAAAAAATTGCTTAGTTTATTGTTTATTCTGTTTTTTTTATGACTATGTCAATTTGGCTCCTATAAGAGTTGTTTTTTTATTTTTTTTTACGTGTGTGTGTGTGTGTGTGTGTGTGTGTGTGTGTGGGCACTCATGTGGTGCCTTTGGAGGCTAGAAGAGGGTAACAATACCCTAGATCTGGTGTTACAGGTGGTTGTGAACTGCCTGATGTGGGTGTTGGCTCCTTGTTTTCCAAATGTTTGATACTAACGTCTAAACTTTCACCAAACATTCATCCCTATCTGGTCTGGAGGTTTGAAAAATACGTCCCCCATAGGTACAGTTACTTGAACACCCGATGCTCAGTTGGTGATGCTGTTTGGGGAGTCTATGGAACTTTTAGGAGGTGGTACCTTGCTGGAGGAAGTCCATCACCGCCTGCAGCTCGGAGAGTCTGTAGCTGTGCTTTATTTGTCATTGAAGATGTGAGCTCCCATCTTCTACTCTGGCTGCCAGCTGACATGCCTCTCTCACCATCCCAAACACTTGGTTTCAATCTCAAGCCAAAATAAACTCCTCTTCCATAAGTTGCTTCTGACCATGGTGTTTCTTTCATAGCAACAGAAAGTCACAAATACTTCCCGTGAAAATACAAAATCCAAGATGCTCCAAAAACAAACAAACAAACAAACAAACCTTTTTTTGAGACAAGGTCTTATGTAGGCCAGACTGGCCTAAAACTTTATTGGCACTGAGAACAACTTTGAGTTTCCAACTCTTTGCCCCCCCCCCTTTTTTTTTTCTGTGTAGGCTGGACTGTTCTGGAACTCACTCTGTAGACCAGACCGGTCTCAGTCTCCCATGTGCTGGGACCAAAGGCATGTGCCACTGCCACCCCAGTGCCTTAGTTACTTCTATCGCTGAGAAGAGACACCACATCCAAGGCAACTCATATAAAAGAAAACGTTTAATCGTGCGCTTGCTTACAGTTTTGAAGGGTTCAAGGCAGAAAGCAGATAAGCATGGTGTTGGAGCAGTAGTTAAGAGCTTTACATACTGATCCACTGGCGGAGAGAGGGAGAGAGACAGACAGACAGACACGTGCACGCGCGCGCACAGACACACACACACACACACACACACACACACACACACACACTAGGGTTGGTGTGGGCTTTTTAAAAGCTCAAGTCCCTCCCCCAGTGACATACCTTTTCCAACAAAGCCATACTTTCTAACCCTTTCCGAAGAGTTTGATGCAAATACTTGAGTTTATACGGATCATTCTCAACCAAGCCATCTGTTACGGATGGTTCTTCCTCCCAGCTGGGTTCCACAGCCATGTCAGCCCCAAACGAATGCTATATTATTTATAAAGCTGTTGGCAGATGACTAGGGCTTCTTATTGGCTAGCTCTGTCTTAATTATTAACCCATAACAATAATCAATGTATTTCTGCACATGGTCTTATCTTACCAGAGAACACCTGGCTGGCGTCTTCTATTCTCGGACTTTATTTTGATTGGTTTGCAGTGGGTAGATCCACTTCCCGTCTATATTCAAGATGGGAAGACACATGGCTTCTGTAAGGATTCAGGCATTACGCTGGCCTGCCCCTGTCACCTGGGAGAATGCACTCAGGCAGTGCCCTGGTCAGCCCAGGATTCCATGGTTGCATAGTCTGCACGCAGGTGCAAAGGACCCTTTAAAAGACAGACCCCGCCCACTTGCGCTCTTTTTCTACTCTCTTTCCCACTGTTCCCTTGGGGCAGACAGGACTTTTCCTGTCTCCGTCTTCCCTTCTGTCCTGTCTCTGTCTCTGTGTCTCTGTTCTCTTTCCTTCCCCCCTCTTCCCTTTCTAATAACACTTATCACTAAGCTCTGGCGTGTTTGTCCCTCAGCCTCGGCACCCTCGCCTGCCATGAAATACACCAAGGTTCTCCTTGTGCTTTATCATAACACCTTCAATCTAGATTAACTAATTAATTGAGACAGGGTTTCTCCGTGTAGCCCTGGCTGTCCTGGAACTCTCTCTGTAGACTGGCTACCTGTCTTTGTCTTCTGAGTGCTGGTATTAAAGGTGTACACCATCACAGTCCAGCCTTGATCTGGACTGTGAAGAGGGTACACTCTTACCTTAAATCTGGATCCTGAGGCAGGAAGGCGCGCCTTTAATTTGCCCCACACCTCCTGCTAGAAGCCTATATACGGACACGAAAGAAGGAAGTTTTTGCTCTTTGCCTTCTCTCTCCTTGCAAGTCCATCCCTTCACTGGAATTAGAGTCTACTTCTCCGGGATTCCAGCATATACTGAAGACATATATCCAGCATTGTGGATTGAGCAACTTCCAGATTCTTAGACTTTCCAATCATAGCCAGCCATTGTTGGATTAGCTGGACCATAGCCTGTAAGTTACTCTAATAAATTCCCTGTCTTTTTTTTTTTTATTACTCTTTTTTCTTTCTTTTTTTTTTGATATTTTTTTAAATTTAAATTTGGAACAAGGTTGGTTTACATGTCAATTCCAGTTCCCGCACCCTCCTGCCCTCCCCTGTCTCCCTCACCAAACTTCAGCCCATCGCCTTTCTGCTCCCCAGGGAGAGTGAGGCCTCCCATGAGGAGTCTTCAAAGTCTGTCATATCATTTGGAGCAGTGCTTAGGCCCTTCCCCATGTGTCTAGGCTGAGAGAGTATCCCTGTATGTGGAATGGGATCCCAAAGTCCATTCGTATACTAGAGATGAATACTGATCCACTACCAGAGGCCCCATAGCCTGCCCAGTCCTCCTAACTGACACCC